CTCTCTCTAACTCACTATCTATCACCCTCTTACTGTCTCCCATATCCCCATCCCTCTCCTTCATCAACCGATCTCGCACTACCACCACCGGTCACATCGCGTATTTTCCCGCGGTTTTCTTTCGCCCTGGGATCTTTACAGCTGCAGGCGTTCACGCAAGAGTTTGGCGCCTGAACCGGGCCTCCCAGTGTGGACTGGCAACAGTCTCCCCCGTCGTACTGACAGCGTCTCCGGTTGTTTCTGGCGTCGCACCAACCGTCGGACACTGTGTTCTGAGAGAAAAGAAAAATAGTAGCGAATGACCGAACGAAAGAAGAAACGAAGAAAAGAAAGAAGGAATGGACATCACGCTAACAGTCTGACCCTCGACTCTGCTGCGAGAAACGGAATAACGGAATGAATGACGGAACAAAGGAAACAAGTGAAGAAAGAAATTAAGGAATAAATGATGGAATTACAGATATAAGAAAAGAAGAAATGGAGAAAGAAATAAGGAATAGACTTCACACCAAACAACTAACACTGTCTCCTGGGAGAAATGAAAAAAAAGAAGGAAAGACGGAACAAAGAAAACAAGTGAAGAAAGAAATAAAGAAATAAATGACGAAATTTATGAAATATAAGAAAGGAAGAAACGGAGAAAAAAAAGAAGGAATGGGCTTCACACCAAATGTGGGGCACTGTGTTCTGTGAGAAAAGAAATAAAGGAATCAATGACGGAACAAAGGAAGAAACGAAGCAAGGAAAACGACTAACACTGTCTCCTGCGTGAAAAGAAATAACGGATGAATGACGGAACGAAGGTTACAAGTGAAGAAAGAAATAAAGGAATGAATAGCGGAACAAAGGTAACAAGTGAAGAAAGAAAAAGAGCAAAGAATGACGGAACAAAGGAAAAAAAAGGGGAAAAATAGAGGAATGAACGACGGAATTAATGCCATAAGAAAGGAAGAAATGGAGAAAGGAAAGAAGGAATAGACTTCACACGAACTGTCTGACACTATGTTGTGCCAGAAAAAGGAATAACGCAATTAATTACCGAACAAAGAGGAAATGAAGAAACATAATATGGACTTGACATCAATTGTCTGACATTGTTTCTATTATTATTTTAGTGGTTTTACGCCACTGTCAGCACAATTCAGATTATTTAGGAGGCATGCCAACTTGGTCCGAGAGGGATACAACATCCCATCAGAAAAACCGAGATATTCGATCAACATTATCCCAATTAGGGAATCGAACCCGGACCTCTTGCGTGTCACAGCCAAGCACGTAACCGCAACTGTACAGATGCCGGTTCTGACACTATGTTCTGAGAGAAAGGAAATAATAGAATGAAAGACAGAAAAAAGTTTTTTTTTTAAGAGAAAAAAATGGTGAAATGGAGGAATGGGGAAGGACCAAATGAAGTTCTGTTTTTAAATAAGAAAGAAGGAGTGTACAAAAGGAGAAGAAAAGAAGGATTTAATTTTAAATCATTTCCAATAGACGGAGCGGGACGAAAGGGATAACTAAATAAAAGAAACTAACAAAGAAGAAAGAAATGTGTGAAGGAAACAGAAAAGGGGTAATACTTATACATGAAGAATGACCCACCAGAAGGACGAGGATGCTTGATAAAAATCCTCTCTACATGCACATTGAACTCATGGTTTCTATATACGACGGCCTAACTGTTACACCACATAATCCGGTAACATGTTCTCTGTAAGCACAATTTAAAAGATTAATTACATAGGCCTAGATTTAATACAGATCGACTGGTCAGTGTAGGACTTAGTAATACGTCACTTTTTAAAACGGCTCATCTATCTACTTATCTACAAGAGGGGGTCAAAAAGTAATGCAAGTTGTTCGTTACTTTGTGCAATTTTGCATGAAATTATATGAAATTTGGCTCACACGTACTTGCACATATACCTTTGAACTCAAACTGTTACAATTTAAGTTTCTTTGATTTTTGCCGAAATGACGTCACATCAAAATGGCTGCCCTCTCGGAGGTCTGTCGGAGGCGAAGAGCTGTGATTGAATTCCTCCACCAGTAGCATCCAAAAGAGACTTCAAAATGTTTACAAGGACCAAGCTCTAGATTTTTGCAATGTATATAGGTGGGTTACACGTTTGATCAATGGACCGGAAGAAGAGGAAGAGGTGCCCATATGCTTGTTAGACAAGCATCGTCCCGAAGAATCAGCTGGAAAAATCATGCCAAAAGTGTTTTTGGACGTTCATTGAGTGCCCCTCACAGAATTATTTTTTTACCACAAGGAACAACTGTCAATGCTGAAGCCTACATTGAAACACCGAAGCGACTGAAAACAAGAATTCGATGAGGTTGAAAATGGAAAGAGTGTTTTTTTTCACCCTGACATACGAGTACCAGAACAAGGAGACAATCACCCCGCTTGGGTGGAAAACACTGCCACACACAGCTGATTCTCTGATTTAGCACCTTCAGACATCCACATTTTCGGTCCTCGAAAAAATCATTGAGAGGTCAACACTATGGAAACGATGGACAAATCAAGACTTCAGTACTCAAAAGACCAACCTGCTCAGTTTTACAAAGCTGTATGTTGACTTAATAAAAGGTGGACAGAGGCTATTGAACAAAATGAAGACTATGTTGAGATATAGAAATCTGATCCTCAGATGTTCCCCTTCAATTTGAGGTATGATAGTTGCCAATGCTTTCTTTTTTCTTTAAGTTATAAATGAACTTGCATTACTTTTTGACTCCCCCTCGTATCTATCTATCTGTCTGTTTATTTATCGACCTATCTACCTATCTATCTATCTACCTATTCTCCCCCTCTCTTTCTCTCTCTCTCTCTCTTTCGCTCTCCCTCTCCCTCTCTCTCTCTCTCTCTCTCTCTCTCTCTCTCTCTCTCTCTCTCTCTCTCTCTCCCTCCCTCTCTCTCTCTCAAGAACATAGTAAATGAATATTTCAGTTAAAACTCACGCGATTGCAGCTTTGCACACACTTGAGGTCTACAGGATTGGGGAACCAATGACCGGCTCCCGTGCATGTCACATGGTTGATGACGACATCGCGAGATGCACCGGAAGTGTCAGTGCTCATACTTCGTACGTTTGCTTTCTTCTTGAAGATGACAGCCTCCTCATCCGGTGTGGGACAGTGACAGGGACATTTCGTGCCTGAATACAATAGCATCATTTAGTTTTTAGAACTGCCGCAGAATAGTGTTTTTATGATATACAGTCGAACCTACTCTAATGGCCACCTGTATAAGACACTTTCCATTTTCTCCCATGAGTATCTTTTTTTTTTTAGGGGGGGGGGGGGGGGGG